AGTACCCATTTAGCAACTTTCGTTTAGAATTGACAAAGAGGCTCATATCATCCACCGTAGAGAACCTGCCAGAAAGAAATTCCAACTTCCTCAATTTTCCAATCTCCTCCCCTTTCAATGGTATACTAAAACCTACTAGTAAATACTGAAGGTTGGAGAGATTTTGTAGTAATCCATCAGGTATTTCAAATAATTTTTCACCAAGATGAAGAAATTTCATATTGGTTGACATATTGAGGCCTTGGGGTAGTTCTTCAATTGATGTCCCAGAAAGCTCTAACTTTTTTAAGGCTCGAAAGTTGGATAAAGATGGTACCTCTTTTAAGGACCGACAATCCTCCAACAGTAGTGTGGTAAGATTCTCCAATTTGGAAACAGAACTCGGCAGCCTACCTAGCTTGTAATTTCCGGAAAGATCAAGGATCTTCAGCCCAAGCATCTGATCAAAAAAAGCTTCTGGAATTGTTGTAATATTATTACTGGACAACAACAAGGTTGTGAGCACTGGACACTTGGGAGACAACATGCTTGAAGGAATTTCTCTTATGCTATTATTCATTAGAGAAACCTTCAAAAGATCTTCTCTCCATTCATGCGCCTCTGGTAGCTCTTCCAAGGCCATGCCAGCTTTCACCATGAATCGAGGACTGATATTCAACGCCATTTCTCGGAGAAGATCATGCATACTCACACAATCTACCTCTTCATCTTCTGTAACCAATTCCAACATGCAGTTGTCTATTAACTTCCCAAGAATAACATGGCCCTCACTATTCATTAAGTGCCGAGATCCCCTTCCATCTTTTATAAATCCCTCCTCAATCAAACACTCAATTAATTCCTCTTTGGGGATTTCATGATCCTCAGGATATAATGCACAATACAGAAAACAGTTCTTGCACAATTCTTCTAAGTGATCATAACTGAATTTCAAGCAATCGAAAAATTCTTCAGAGTTGCTCAATTCTTTATCTGCCATCTCCCACGAGCAACGATCAAATTTTCCTTTCATGGTTTTCGCCACTGTCCCAATAGCAAGGGGTAGACCGTTACATTTCTTCAAAATCTGATTGAAAAATGGTTCTATATCACTTTTGAATTTGGGATTGGATAACAAGGCACTTCCAACTTTATCTAAGAATAATCTTGATGCTTCATCATCTGAAAGAGGCTTCACAAGGATCACTTCACACTCCATTGCACGAGCAACCTTTTGTTGTATCCGTGTCGTGAGCACTAACTTGCAACCATTATTTCCAAGTAGATCAGGGATTCCAACAATTTCTGGAGAAAAAGGCTCCCACACATCATCCAGAATTAGCACACAATTACGCTGTTGTAATGTTTGTGATATCAGTTCCGCAAGCTCAGTTGTCTCTTGATCCTCATTCTTCAGTTCTATTCCCAATTTTCTTGCAATCCTCTTCTGAAACTTGAGAACATCAAACTGTTTTTTTTGCTCGACAATAATATCAAAGTCTTTTGATACTTTTACCCAAATAACTTGGTTAAGTTTGGGTTCTTTCAGTAGATGGTTGTAGACTTGCTTCATGATTGTTGTCTTGCCCACGCCACCCATTCCACAAACTGCAATTCTTGTAACCTTGTCTCCCCTCAATAGTTGCAGAATTTCTTCTTGTACATCATCACGTGCAATGCATTTTTCAGCAGGCATTGGAACTCCTTTTTTTGAGTGATCATCTATGACCAAACTCACACCAACATTAGTGAATTCTTTTCCTTCCTCAAGTATTCGCTTCAATTCTTCAGTCTTTTCATCTAGATTTCTTGATGACCAAATAAATGTGAAATAACCCCCTCTGCAGATCAGATCTTCAACCTTTACAGTAGTTTCTTTGTGTGCTTCCTCTCGCCAAGCGTCAACTTCTTTCCGTGCCTTCTTTCCGGGCTGTTTAAGTTGTGTCTCTAATTCTGCCTCAACGTCTTCCACGCGGTCTTTCAGCTTCTTTTGCATTGCTTCGAATTTGCATACATAATCCTCGTAATAGATCTGATACTCGACATATTTCCAAACTTGGCCAAAATCAAAATCGTTCAGCAAACCAATGACTGAATTTATGATGCCCATTTGCGAATCCCTGCATAAATATATATGAAATTGTTGGCAGGGTGAGAAAATGTATGTTTGGATACATAAGATAGTAGAAACTTAATCACCATAGGAAAGGGATCATACAATTAACTAAAAGGTTATAGATTGAAGCAGACAAAGCTGTATTATTATTGCTGTCTTATGAAGAATATATACAGAGGCACCAACGCAGAATCCTAACTGGTATGGAAACTAAATATATGATACACAAAATCCTAGCTGGTATGGAAACTAAATATGTGATACAGTATAATAAACATATAGATTACAGATTGAATGAATCCTAAAATCATGGTCTCATTGATTGCTGATCACGTGGTAACAGCTGGAGATGCAGTTGCCTTGACATTAACAAGAGAAACAAACAAAGTAGGCCTAGTTTGAGAATGTTGCTTGATTCTTTAACTTCTGATTTTTTTTCTCCTTTTATTATCTAAAAATATATAAAAAATTAATTAAAAATATTCAATATATTAAATATATTACATATTTTTGAGATATTAAAAAACCAAAAAAAAAAACATAGAACTGCCGTCATAACTTAGCACTCTCAAAAGGATACCCAACTTAGAAATTGATCGTAAAACGAATGACTAATTTAAGTAGAGAAGCTCACTAGTCTGCTATGTTAAATAAATGGAAAAAAAAAAAGATTAATTAAATTGGACTCCTATTTATTTTATTTTACTTTATTTTGATTGTATAATAGAAGACAATCTTTTTTTATTTTTTATTTTATCTCATTCATATATCATACAATTTAAATTCAAAATCTCTTGTTTTCAATGAAAAGAGATTATCACTAAATTATTTAAATAGTTAGTAATTAAACTCCTATTCTTAGTTAAGGAATGATATTTGTAATGCTAAATAAAATAAATTAGGTAGTAATATTTTTTCAAACTAAGTTAAAATATATTACTCCCTTATTTAAAATTAGTTGTTTCATTTTTTTTTAATTTTTTACACACATCTAATAGAATATATATAAAAATTAAAATATTTTTTTATTTGTAATTTTTGATAAATAATTTTATTTGATAAA